TTACACACGAGGGCAGCTTCAGCACAGCCTTCATCTCAGGTTTGTGCGTATGCGAGATACAGATAAACTTACATTCTCACTGCATGTTAATTTGTAAATTTTGTGAAAATGATTTTAGAGCCTCTTACATAAATGTAATGTTACATTTATAAGTGTTCAGTTTTGTTTCTAATGGAATACTTCATTAAGCAGCCATCAGCAAAGGACGCTAAAACAATGTAACAACATTCCTTCAAATGAAGGATGGCAACTAACATTTGCAGTGCCTTTTGGAGCTACAAACTTGAACCAGAAGCTCCAGTTAGAATTACAGAACATTGCATACAATTGCTGTGCTCTGGCTGCTCCATAGCTTTTGTCAGCAAGGCAAGGGACTATTGAAACAGTCCAGAGCGGTTCTTTAGTCTGTTGTGGTAGCACAATGGGCAATTGTCTGAGACAGCTTCCCAACATTTTGATCAGTAGAAACATTGACCAGATTTATATGTCCCTATGTAAATGCTAGCAAATAAAAACTGATGAGTAGATTAAAAAATAAATAAATTATAGAATAGAAAGATGGTTGGAAATCTTTGAGAATTTCAATTGCCTGGAAACTGCATAACTGTATAGTCTTAAATGGAAGACTGGTAACAATAGATTAAAGTAACATGAAACAATTACAAACTCCCTTTGACTTAGAAGTTCCAAAATGTTTTCTTTCGAGTACGAGAGCAGTTGTAGCTTCGTGTGGCCGGTTAGTCACATACTGGCAGTTCACAGAGAGGTCGGAAGGCTTACAGAGGTGGTTGTGCTGGGAAAAAGAGCAGGTATTTGTTTTTCAGCTGTAATAATCTTGAATTCATCTCTGCAGGACAATAATCTATTGCAGTTGCAAAGTATTGGCACAAGCACCAAACTTTCACTTTGTTATTTGTTCCAACCAATGATTTTATTACTGCAGAGGGAAAGGTTTTAAGGAACTTTAAAACTTGTTTGGTAGAATTTGTTACCACGACATTTATCCTTTTCTTCAATGCAGCAAAATAGGACAAAATCATCTTAGTTTTAAAAACACCAAAGTGACTTTACATCAAGCCCTCTGCTTGCAGAGAGCCTGGGACACCTAGAAGAGGCTGGGAACTTTTTCTGTGTTACACATCAAAGTCTGGAATCCTGGCTATATTATATGAGAATCAATTGGGTTGAAAATGAAAATTTCACCTTATTGAAATAAGAGACATATATTTCCAGCATGGGAAAAGTCAGGAGATAGGTTTCCTACAGCAATGGCTGTTAAAAAAATAAAAATAAAGAAGTGGTATTTAATTAGCCTTCACAGTAGCCAGGTATGCTTCACCGTAGGCCAGCCCATATGGTCCGAATCAGGGGAGCGCATGTTTTGCTGTCCCCATGCTCATATTTTCTTCTGAGGGAACCAGAGGCACGGAGGGGGGTTGTTGGATCTGTTGACCCAAACTCAGGTCCTGCTGCAGCCAGTAGCCAGCTGTGGGGATGGCAGTGACCCTGCAGGGTGCTGCAGCACAGGGTGTAGGGACAGCAGGGGGGCGGGATGCAAAATGGTGGCACTGTTTCAGATGCAGTGGGTGGATGGCACTTGGTTAATGATGAATGGCCTTTCCAGCCTAACACTTGATCTTGTACAGTTGGTGACATATAGCAAAAAAAAATAAAATTAAAAAAAAAAAAATTGAGACTTGGGAATAAAAACAAGGAACTATATGAAATGCATGAAGATGTAAAGCCTTTGGGCAACTTTGGCCACACAAAAACTGAAGAAAGAATTGTGCAAAGTTGTGCAAAAAGAGTTGTATTTTACAGTCAGTATACGCAACATGAAACTTGATACTTTATAAAAAACAATATTCACACAACATAAATGCCATTTTGCTTTTGAGGCAGAGAGCAAAGTAGCACTTTGGAAACTGCCTTATATTGAGTTGCAATTTCAGAAACAAATATAAAACTAAAATACCAGCATGGCTTCTGTCAGACAAGCAACGTGTTTCCTTTTGTCTTCTGTGCTGCACTTTCTGAAACACTAATATGCAATGCATTGAAATTATAATCTGCTTCCTGGACAAAATTAAGTTAGATATAAGGTCAAAAGTAGGCTGTGGGGGATAGGCACCAGCAGGATAAAGAGCAATTTGGAACCGAGTTTATGGATGAATTGGAGATATCTGGTCTTTTAATGAGGTATCCAACAAGACAGACAATTCAGTTTCACTCTGTAGATGTTACTTTGGTAGGCAGTTAACAGATGTGTGACTGTAACTAAGACAATGTGTAAATGTTTAGTAGGGCTTTTAAATATAAATACTTAAAATATTAATTCATGCATATTTAATGAAAAGAATACATTCCAAATTTTAAAACTAAAGCATCCTGAAATGGTAAGGGCCTAATGTTATTTCTGTGCCCTCTGACCCAATCTAAAATATTTGGTGGGAAGTACATACAACAGGGAAAAGAGAAGCAAGGCAATGACCTGATAATTGTGTTTCCCCTTACATTTCCAGAATTACGTGCTTTCAGCTTACTTTTGTTACCGTAGCGATTCTTCAATGTATATCACTACGTTATTACTGCTGTGCTAGCATTTTAAAAAATAAAAATACAATAGGTTTGTTTTATTTGTCAAGATGTTTGATTTGTTGTATCCAATATGTTTCTACCAACTATGTGTTTTTAAGAATTGAGGTTCTGCAGGTGAGGAAATGAAGCAGCCAAAATCAAACCCGCGGGTTTTTGAGCCTGTTAGGGTGCAGCAGCATGACTCTTCAGATTGACATCGTGCAGTTTGGGTACCATTTGAAGCTCCGTGTCACTTACACATATTTAATTTGGAAGGGCTCATTTCCACTGCCTGCCTGGCAAGCTCAGTGTGGGATCTGCAGGCCGAGCTCTGTCTCTCTGTGAACCACCGCAAGTAATTATCTATCCCCTAATTGGAATGTAATTAATGATTCCATGAATGATTTATGCCCGACACTACAGTCTATCCTGTTTCCCCAAAGAGTAGCCACATGAGGACTGTAGTGCCAGCGGCGTGTCTGGCCACCATGAGGGCAAACACGCCACGTGTCAGCTCTGGTGGGAACCAGCAGTGGCTCCAGCAAGTACGACTGCTCAGGAGCCAGGACAAGTGCTGAAGGCCTTAAGGCAGCTCTGTGGTGCCTTTTCCATAGAGCCTGGTGGTAGCGCAGGCTGGACTTGCCAGTCTTGGTAGTTTCAGGCTAAATCAACGCAAACCTTTCAGCACAACTACACTCATACCTCTGCCTTCTCCTAGGGAGAGTTATGGGAATGGGGCATGCAGGACTCAGTAAAAACCGTCAATAAATATTGCACCGTTTAGAGGTTGTGACCACAGAGATCCCCTGGGAGTTTGTGGCTGGCTAAGTGCACTCCCACACTTAAAGGCTGGGGGTGCACACGTAAAGGAGGGGGTGAATGAACACAAATACTGGAAATCAGTATAGATCAGGAAGCCAGCTGCAACATTTACATCCACTTTAGGTAAATGTGTAGCCCAGGTTGCCCTTGGTCACTGTCTTGGTGTACAGTGTAACCTGCTTGGGCATTTTCTCTTGTCTTTATTTTATTTCCTGTCTTAAAAGTTACAAGATAACTCATGATTTCTAAGTGTAATATCCACGTATGGTAAATAGGCACTCAAATGCTGTACTGAAACACTACTAACACACTGTGCATTCTTTCAGGATACTTCCCAGTGTTGCTTATTCGTAGCAAGAGAGCAGAAGCAAACGGGCTGTGTACTTCATGAAGGGCATTTATTTTAAAACTGTAAAAAAGGGCTTGGGTCCAGTGTTGCTACCCCTGAGAGTTCCACAAGCCTCTCTGCAGATAGGATTTAAAGAAATCAATGAGAGAAAACAATCTCTGCAGTTCTTTACATCTTCCATGCTGTCTTCTTTTGAAGTCAGCCGAACAATTACCTGCTGGTCATTGACATTCTGTCCTGCACTGCTGTTTTTCCGAAAAGGTTATCAATAGGAACCCATCAGATTGCTGTGTACACAGATATGTCAGTTATATGAAGAGGAGAATGAAAAATCTCTTTCTGTTACTTATTCTTTATCACATAGTGCAATGCAGAGTGGCACAGACTTAGCGTTCATTTAGAGCTAACTGGTGTAACAAGAACAAAGAACCATAATATTTTGTTCAGATCTAGCTTGAATACCTCTTCACAACTCTGCTTAACGTTGCGTAGGCTTACTGCTGATGGTCAGTCGCCTGCCAGTTCGGTGTTGAGAGCATATGATCAGTGAGCTAGAGAGTTATTGTCATTCCTGAATTTCTGAGGCATTAGTACATGATCAGTACAAGTTGTCCCTAGTCCCATCCCCGTGTTCTCCCATCCGTTTGGATTTCTCAGCCCAGCAGTTCAGAAGGTTGTGTGTTTTGTTTGAAGAGCTACAGCAACTCGTTGTCTTTTAGTTTGATAATCTCATCTATTTAATTTAAATTAAAGGATGTGTTATTTGTCAGCCAGAAGTTCTTGTAAACAGGCTAGGCCCCAAAAGAGAGGCACTTTTTGTAGACAGCATGGAGTGTGTTCTGTCTCCTGGTCAATCTTTCATGAGCTCAGCAGTTGTGGGCATGTCACTAAGTCCCTCTGCCTTGCTTTTGTGCACTGCAGAAACAGTGGTGAGCGTACTCTGCAATGGGTTAGATGTCTTTGCTCAGGTTTGTGAAACCTTTGGGAGCGCTAGACCTTTTGTAAAAGTTACTTTCTGGATGAAACCAAGGAGCTAATTACTTTTGGATATCAAAGATTGGATATCAAAACAGAATAAAAGTAATGTGAACCAAGACATAATTTGTATTCTCTGTTAGTTAAAACCTTCACTATAAAAATTCAAGCGGTCTGGTGACACAGGCAGTTTAGATACCATCAGGGACCAGCTCCATAGCTGATGTGCGGTAGTGCCGCTGACAACATCTCTGTCTTTCTCCCTTTCCTCTTACAGTATCGGTCGGGACGGGATCCTCAGCGGGGCTCTGACAATGTTTCCAATAAGTCCTCAGACAGCGATGTCAGCGATGTCTCGGCTGTGTCTCGGACAAGCAGCGCTTCTCGTTTCAGCAGCACGAGTTACATGTCTGTCCAGTCAGAGCGGCCAAGGGGAAACAAGAAAATAAGGTGAGCACAAGGAGCTATGGTGCCTACCATAGCTGTGTGATTTAAGTAACTGAGTACTTTTCAATATTTTGCATTTGAAAAGATTATTTTGCCTCAGTTGGAATTTGCAGGGAATTTGCAAGAAACCGGTTTAAATGTCTTCATCATTTAATGCTTTATGAATTCTTTATGGTATTTGTTTTTAGCAAAGTTTTGATGTCTTGAGTTATGCTAGAATACACTGCAGCAACAAACGTGCTGTCAGCAGGCATTAGACACGCTTACATTTGCACTTTCTGAAAACAGTTTTGTAAAATACTTAACATGGCTGAAAAGACAGTCGAACTCAAATTTTGTGCTGCCTATGTCAAAGGCATCTTAATTTACTTTTTAAACGAGAGCTGCTGAACTGTTACAGAAGTCTTAGATAATACTAATGCAAACCCTGGTCCCGTTCAACTGTGGGCATACCTCTGCTGAATTAGTCTTCAGCGAGATGTGCACAGTGTATCTGTGAGCAAAACGCAGCATCTCCTTTGCCTGCACCCTGTGCACAGTCAGGGGAGATTTCACTGTGGAAGGAATGAAAGATTGTTCTTCTAGAAGGTGTAACCCACCTGCATCTGTCAGCAAAATTCAGTGTCAGCTTGTATAAATTCTCAGAAATTTGTCCTCTTGAGAGATGTGATGCTTTTGGTAAGTTTGCACATCTGTTCATATGAGCAGTGTTAGGACCACGTCGTTTCTGTTGTATGGTTGTGCATCCCTTTTTAAATGAGATGTATTGCCACACAGCTTCTGTTCAAAGAGGGACTTAGGGACTGTCCTAAGAAAACATCACAATTTAAAGCTTCTCTAGTGTAGGCTGGAGGATTAGCCAGCATGACTAACCTTATGACTACTTCCATCTTTTACTTTTTAATTTTAGTCTTTTAATTTTTTATTTCATTTATTTTGTTCTGCCTTTCTTGTGAGTTCATGCATGCGCATCTCTGTGACCCTAACTTTACTGCATTCTTTTCTTTTTTCTTTTTGCATGCCTCTTTCAATTTTTGTTGACTTCAGAAGGACAAGGGACATAGAGGAAAAAAAAGAGGGGGGGTTGGAAGGGGATGAACAAGATGAAATATTTCCTGAGGAAGAGGAAAAAGAGGAGGAGGAGGAAAAAGCAAAGGAGCAAGAAATTAATGAAAAAAGGGAAGGGCAAGAGGTGGCAGAGAACTGTGATAAGGAAGAAGTCAAAGGATCAGGGCAAGATGAAAAAGCTCAAGAGGACCAAGCAGAGGAAGGGAAAGAGGATGACAGGTAAAACATACTTCTATTTTTTGTAGATCTATAGAACTAGTCTTCCTGCTGTACCTGGACCTTGCTTGCCTTCTTTTTTTTTTTTTTTTCCTTTCCTTTGCTTAGTTTATTGTCTGTTTTGTGCAGATTATTTTGCTTTCAACTGTGATGCTTTCATATTTAAACAAGTTTCACTCTCAGCTTCAGGGAACTTATTCTGCATACCAAATGATGCAGCATACTAACTTGATTCATTATTTTGCACATAACTACAGCATGTTATTTTTTAAATTGGTTTAGAATTGAGTTTGGGTTTGACTATAATAAACAATAGAAATTATAAGATGCTTCTTTATATGCCCTACTTGAATTACTTTTCAGGGAAAAATCTTTTGTTGAGTGATATCTCATCAATATCAAAACCATCTTTACTTTTTACTTGTGTCAGTACTAAAGAAGAGATTTTGGATTTATTTTTTTTATTGTCCTCTTCATGTGGGCTGATAAATGTGCATATTGATTGACAATTGATGTGGATAAACAAAGAGTTTTTTGTTTTCTTCCACTCCACTTGAATAGCTGCCATGGGTTGCTGTATGGTGGAGGGGTTATGTAGCTGTTCTGCTGTATGGTGTCCAGAAACATTTCAGCACAATTGGCTCTGGTTTTCTTAGATGGCATTCTAGATTTACACATTTTGCCACAATTCCTTTGAACCATGACTTCAAATGCAAATGAGTGACATTTTGTATTGCAAAATCCATGTAACTTGCATTATGAGAAATGCAATGTTCTTTCCTTCTTCATTAGCAAAAAAAAAAAAAAAGAGAGAGATTTGCTGAGAGTCTTTGAAACTCTTCAGAAACTCTCATTTCTTTTAACTGCTAGTGCTGGTACCTATAGAAATCTGAAGCTTGTAGAATTGTGTTAATATATAGTAGGGTAATCATAAAGTGCTCTGCTGCATTCCACTTTCTTTGCTTCAAACATACATGTGTACATACCTGTACATACACAAACATGCAAACACACAGAGACTAGCTTCTTTTATTTCAAACAAATAACTACTCACAGAAAATGTTCTGAAATACTTTTCTAAATGGAAATAACCAAAACAGGTCACCTGTGGTAGAATGGATCAAAGGTGATACAAAAAGAGAATCAAGTTATGTGGTGTTCCATTTGAGGTGGCAATATAGCCATACTACTTATTTTATGTATTGATTGCCATCATTCCTTCACTCATGAGAGCACATTTTTGAACTCAGCAAAAACAGCTGTTTAAAAAGAGCTATCTTTAAGACTGCCTTGGCATATTTGCTCCATGGACTGCTAAGCAAACCATTTGGTAGTGTGGGAAAGGATGGTTTAAAGACCTTTGTCTCTCCCAGCTCTCATTAAGACTCCAGTTTAATGGGATCTGGAAGTCCTCCCTCTTTGAAAGCATGGCCCTGTTCCTGGTTTTCAGCTTTCACTCAGGTTAGTCTTCAGCCAAAAATGCTGCCCCTCACAGAAAGTAAACTCCTATTTGAGAAGAAATTTCTTCTTCCCCATGCCAGCTTGTTCCTCTGTTTGGTACCTTCTAGAGTAGGAAACAAGCTGAAAAGCACAGATTGCTTCCTATATACATATATGTATGTGAGTATATGTATGTATACATTATATACATACATAGTTTTTTATCATTAGCATACTGAAATGTAGTGACTAGTGAATTCAGTGGACAAAACTGAAGGCAGGATAGATACTAAGTACTGCTATAAATTCAGTGCCTTATGCTTGCTTGTTTGGCAATTTATAACATGCTCTTATTTTAATTAAAAATATATTTTCTAATATTCATTAAATGAAATTATTAAAAATTAGTAAGTATTTTAAAACTGGGGATACGTAATATCTGCATGCACAGATGCTTTATTGAAGTCTTAGTGGAATTAAGTATCTGGAAGTGCTGATACAAGCTGCTTATTGCTAGTTAACAACTGCAGCTTTCCAAAAACGTTTTCATGCCCGACACCATTATGAAGCAATCAACAAAACATCACTTAACAAATAACCCAATCAACAAAACATCACTTAATAAATACCAATATCATATCAATAGGTATTTGAGGTACCCATCAGAACCGAAGCAGCCATCTCACCGAGCAAAAAATAGTAGTAAATTATTACCCAGATCCTGTGATCTTGGGTATCCAAAAAAAGCTAGAGTGCAGATAGAGTGCATACATTTGTACGTCACAGGTATATCTTTAGTTGAACAGCAGTCACCTTTCCTCTGGGAAATTTGGAGACATAGTGGCTGTTCTCAATCACACTATCATAAAAAATTAGTTCATTAAGGATACATCATACCTCTTGATGTACATTTCAAAGTCACCGTGCACTGTACTCATGTATTTTCTGAATAATGCTAATAGTCACAGTAAGGGCTTCAATCTGCTGAGATCATAGGTGGGTTCAAAGTAACTTAAATGACCATGAAAGCAGATATCCATCATGGGTTCATCCCATGCCTATTTTAAAGAGTACTTCAGTGCAATAAATTGCATTAGGTTTTAGAGCACTGGAGTACAATAAGTCAATAAATCTTTTTTGGCAGAAATAGCTGCAGAGTCAGATTTTGCCTTCATTAAACCTTGTAAAACTAAAAATTGGCATATGGTTGATGTACAGTGAAAGCATAATTGTGTTCTTTTTTGGCAAGGCATGCTAGTAAACAGAAAGCACAGATCAGGTTTCACTGTTGTAATCTTTAAGGATTCTTTATGTACAGTTATCTGACAATATTTCTTATTCTGGCTCCCTGATGATATCAGGGACAAAAAGCCCTCTTAGATCTATAGTGTAAGCATTCAGAATATTTAAAAAGTGCAGGAAATTTTTTTGACTGCTCTAAATCTTAACCTTTCTTAATGTTTTTCTAAATAGGAATCCAAAACATTAATTCTAATAAAGAAGATAGTTTTGTTTTCTCATATCAATATACAATTGTAGTAACAGATAAGGATTTCACTCTTTTAGAAGCTGTTCAAATACAGAAGAAAAATACGGGCTCTGTTCCAAGCACAGGGAGTCTAAATCATGAGATGACATATGAGTGTAGAGAGGGGACCACAGGAGAGTTATGAAATATTTCACATGACAGGAGATAGTGACAATACAGGGCTGGGGACATCTTGACAACAGGGAGCACTAAGGGGAGATTGGAATAAAGAAAATAAGATGTTTTTGTGAATGCTTCTGGAGAGCTCTTTTCAAGCATTAGATTCACGGGGGAAAAAACATGAGTTGCTTACTAAAAATACCACAAGTGGATGACGGGGTAAGTCTGTTCAGCAGCAGGAGCTGAACTTTCAGTCCTGAATGGGAGAAGATAAATGGGAGAAGGAACAACTGTTAAATACTGGAAAACAAAGACAACTTATGTACAGCTGGATAAAGAAAAGAGTACCTTTGTACTGATGCACAGTGAAAGGTTGTACAGCCAAACTGAAAGGCTATGAAACTTATCTTTCCTACAGTGTCCTGGAACGGGCTTTGGTTAGGTAAATTGCCAGAGGTGGAGAAGAAATACATGACATATGATATGTGAGAGAGCGGATAAAACAATTAGCTGTGTGGATGGACAGAAGAGGTAGAGGTGTGAAACAGAAAGTACTTGTAAGTCATAAAAATGTGGGCCTAATATGAAGCTTGAATTAAAAGGGCTGCCCAAAGAGCAGGCCTGAATGACA